AGGCCTATTGATTTACTGCAAACCAGAAACTCTCCAAGGGGCCTTAGTGTCCACTGGGCCAGCTGGAGCCCTACTACATACCTGGCAAGCTTAAAAAAAAAAACAAAAAAAACCACTTTTTAACTCTTTAGCAATCAAAAAGATAACATATTCTAGCCCAAAATCTAACTTCTTAGCCAAACATGTCACATGAATCAAAAGAGAATTCTCTTCCAAATTCAAAAGGTGATTCTAGTTAATGCAAATTAAACACTGACATTCAGATTTAAACATAACCTGTTGGTAGTATTAATACAGGACGGTGTGGCTAAAAACATGCCACATGTACACCTGCAGTCTTGGGGCTACTAAGACCTTCACTGATTTTCAACTATTTCTGCCAGTGTCACACACACAACAGCAGCAGGGCCCACTAGTTCTGTGGACTCACTCTCCAGCCATACTCCAGGTTCAGAACCAGCTTTTGTCACTGAGTAACGGTATGCCTTGGGCCAAATATTTAACTTATGTCTCTGTTTAGTCATTGGGTTGTCGTGAGGATTAAGTCAATTAAATCATATAAAACTCTGTGCTGGCACAGATGGTAGAGCAAATATAATGTTGGTTGTTACAAGTATTTGCTGAGTCTTTATTTGCTGGGCAGGACATAACCACCTTCAAAAAAGTGTCATTTTATGTACTGATGATGCTAGTACATAATGCACTTACTGAGCACCAGACTATTCTAAATTCGTACAATTCAGTTAGGCCAGGGTTCTGTTATTATCATTCCCAAACATTGTACAAACTCAATTTGTTCAGAGTTGGGTTTCTATGCTTTTATGTGATTTCTTCCCTTAACAGAAATGCTTCCTAAACCCTGACATGCGTTAAGTGCCGCCAGGCACATCTAACCAACTGCTTTGAGATAGAAGAGATTAAACAGCTAACAGCCTACATAGGCTTGGGTATGACAAAAACACTCACACATTATACACCTACTTCAGGAAACCTCACAACCTCAGAAGTTGAGCCCCACCCTGTATCTAGGTTTTAGGACTGGTGTAGGAGGTAGACTGACACTAATCCTATGTCTTCTTAGTTTCAAAAGACATTATGGTTTTACAAAGACAAAATCCACACTTGAAACATCACTGAACAGAATTCACATTCATCCCTATATAACATTACTGAAAAAAAGGGATTAGAAATAGCAAAGCATACAATATAATTTTTCATTGATTTTCAGGGTGTAAAACTTATATTCAGAAAATAAAATCCTTTTATCATGCAAAATAAGTATTTCCCAGTTGTCATATGATCACCTATGTCCTATGTCAAAAGTTGAACAAATATTCCTTGATATCATCATACATGTAAAAAGCTGCAAGATAGTTGGTTATGAGGCATTCACTATCTCAAGAACTTTTAAACTGTTTTTAACATTCAAAATAGATACATCACTTACTTTCTTTAAAAGCAACCATTACCAACATGCCAGCACTTGAGGTCACGCTAGCACATGAGGTCAATTTTAAGAGTTAGCAGACTGAACTCTTTGGAAAGATCAAGGGTTAATGGTAGCAAAAGTGGGCATTTTTTTCTGGATACCCCTCTGCAAACTTAATCTGCTCGTTTTAATCAAAGGAAGAAGAGATACAGGTAAATTATAATGTAATTGAAATTTAGATATAAAAACTTCATATGTAAACTCCAACAGTAATTTAACCCTATACATGTCAGTCCTGTACCTTAATTACACAATGTTTTAATAGTCAAGCATCTTAATTTAAAAAAGACGAATTATGCTGTAGTCTTGTTTTACTCTTTAACAACACCCTCATTAAAAGTCTTCTAAAGGCAAAATTAGGATGTACTCGGCATGATGCAGACGCACTCCAAGAAAAGCAACCATTTCAAACTGCTAAATATAAAATGTCGTATAATTTAACACAAACGTGCACACACGTTTCTGTAGCTGGTTCCAACCTCCAGAATCTTATCAACTCCACCTAATTTGCGTATCATTTCCACGCAAAACCTCTTAATTGAGTTAAATTCTTTTTCTCTCCACACCACGTCTAGTAGGTCAAATGCAACAGCACATGTGCCAAGGAAATCAGTGGTTTTACTACACTTCCATTTTAAACGGGCACCTACTTGGAATTAAATCTCTGCAACAAAAAAAGTTCACCTGAGGCCATTCTTGCCATTTTAATAGAGGCCTAGCTTATTCTATCGGTCTCTATGGTCTTGCCTCAACTTTAACAGCATACCTCCAAAGAGGCTGACGTGCCCCAAACACCAGCAAAGAAAACCTGGTGCCAACTCTGCTTGTCACACCGGGCAGGAAACGCAATCTCTAACGTATATGCGTTTGTAGGGGTGGGGGGGGTGTCGGTGTTGGGAGGATAGGGTCGCGGATTACAGGAAAAGGGTGGACGAACCCTTTCAAGTAATAACAGAAGTTCTTCTAAATGAGGAAAACAAAACAAACCAACACTTCCTCCCTTACCTCCACCTTTTCCAAGCGCGGGAACCTCCCACTCTCCTGGAGCGCACCTTCAACCTTCAGGTCCCCGGGCCACCGAAGCTTCACCTAACTCTTGATTTTTAAAACTACCTCCCTCCTGGGGAAGCCAGAGGACGCCCGAGAGGGTCGGATCCAGTCCGAAGCGCCCCGAGACCCGCCCCGCAGGTCCACTCCCCTCAGACCGGCCCAGGGATCGAATTGCGGCCCCTCGCGGGGAGAGTTCACCTGAGGCCGTAGGGGCGGCCAATAGGAAGTCCCCTCGGCCGCGCTGACGGCCGCGCGACCCCGGGAAGAGCCCCCGCAGCCCAGCCCGTCGTCCCCGCTGGGAGGAGGGGCGGGACCAGGGCGACTTCTCTCCGCTCGGGATTACCTCGCCGCGCGCAACCGGCTTTGTGCTTCTCCCTCCTCCTCAGCGGCCGCCGGGTTGCAGCCGCCGCTGGACCCGCCGCAGCCGCCTCTTAAGCGCCCCACCGCTCGAGAGAGGAGGGGGCGTGAGGCGGGAGGGACCCGGGCGCCGAGCCCTGTGCAGCAGGAAGCGGCGGCACCTGGAACGCAATGCCTCTAGATCTCGTTGCTCTTTAAAATATAATTTAAACCCCTTTCTTCCCCTCCCCACCCCCGGCTCTGCCGACCGTTACCGGCGAGCGGCTGACGCTCTGGCGGGACTGGCGGAGAATCCCCTGAGCGTCCCCTGGTCCCGCCCCGAAATGCCCTCGACTCCGCCCCCTAAGGCCCTCCCCTGCAGACCCTAGCGCCCCTGGTCCCGCCCCTTAGAGCCCCGAGCATCCTGACCCCGCCCCTAGCAGTCACAGGAAGCTCCTGGCCCCGCCTCCATTAAGCCCCGCCTCTCGCGGCCCCTCGCGCCTCTGGGAGAGTCTTGGCTCCGCCCCGACAGCCCCTTCATCGCCGGCAATGGCCGAGTCTGCGGATCTGCGGCCCCATGGGCCTTGTGGCCGGGCCTCTGGGAAGGTCTGGCGCTGGGCGGCTGCCTGGCACCTCTTCATCGTCTTCCTCCAGCAATGCAGCTCTGATCTGCGGCGTCCCCTGAAGGCTGAAGGGGGAAACGACCCCGACGGAAACTGGACTAGGAAGGGGAGAAAGGGAGCCTCGGAAATCCCGCTCGCCCTAACCTGGGCGAGCCCGTCTCCTCTCATGCGTGCTCCGTCGCCTCTGGTCAGCCTGCCGCTCCTACCCCGGCTGCTGGGTCTTCAGGGGGAGCCACTGCTGAGAATCAACCTCCGCACGCCCCCCATAGGAGGGGCCTGGATTTTCTTCTCTGCACTCTTGCCTGTTGGGGCGCCTCTTCCCTCTGCTCACCTCCACGGAGGCGCAGGGGAGGGGCCCTCTCAATCGTCCGCTGGGACCCGTTGAGGGTCTCCACCCCCACTTTGGCCCCTGGCCTTATGAGAGCTGACTTCTTGGAATTGAAAAGTGGAGGTATCACTTGCCTTCAAAATGAATCCAGGGGCAGGTAAACTTTGCAACACGCAATTGCGGGAAAGTGGATGCATCCACAGGTGATACCGGTCCTCCCACCCGCGCCACCCAGACACGTTTCTCACCCCAACCTATTCTCGGAATAGACCTCCCAGCATTGCACACCTTTCTCTGCCACCCACGGCTTGCACATCCCTCCCCCACATGTGTCCTCCACCGGCACGAATCCACTCACAAGCAAACCCTTCCGAGCGCCATTCTGGTTATTCATGGTCCCTTGAGTCAACCCCACCCTAACAAATACAGCAAACTTCATTCCCCACCCTTATCTCCCTTCGTTTCCAAAGCACTGGCGACAGTCCACTTCATTTCCTTCCTCCTCTGCACTCTTCTCTTCCCCCTCAAATACTTCACGCCATCCCCCTCATCCTCCTCCCCTCCCTCTTCCCTAAAAATGTGCTAATTAAAATGTAGTTTCCTCTTCCCACATAGGAAGTGTGGAAAGTGAATCTTGTCTTTGCATAAACTGTGATTTATTTATCTTTATTTTCTCTCTCCACCGAACTAAAGCTACAGAAAATTTAAGCCTACCACCATCTCCCATTTGCTCAAAATCCAACCATGCCTGTGATTTTTAAATACCCCTAAGGATAGTGGGGAAAGCTTCCCGGCTTTGGGGAGAAAATATTTGGAAAATGCTCAGCCTGTCATTTTATTAGACATTTAAAAATATCTGCAGTGTTTGAGAGAGAGATTGGGAGTGGTTGGATGTTTCCTTGCATTTAAAAATCCAAAAATGAAAAGCTTTTCATGAATCAAGGTTAGTCTTTTTATGAAGAGCAGAAAAAAAAAGTACGTTAAGGGCACATATCAAACAATAGTCTCCACTATTCAGAGCATTTGCTAGTCACAAATCTAGACTTCTCCCCCCAACCCCCAAACCCAGGGAGACAAATTGACAATCCATTTTAAGCATGTCTGATGAGCAATCTTTTCCATGATCATTCGCTTTCCCACAGTCTCTGGACAAAATGGATAAAAACCTGCTTACCCGCTGAGGAACCAAGGCTTTCTTGTGTGCACGGTAGCAGACGTGTGTGTCTTCTGTAGGTGTGGATTCTGCAGTGCTGCACAGAAACCCACTGCAGCCTCAGACCGGCGGCGGCGGCGGCGGCGGCGGCGGCGGCGGCAGCTTCTCCCAGTGCTGAGTAGTAGTGTGTGCCTTAGTAGAGACTCCACAGTTACCGTGAGGCGCTTGCTTATAAGAGAGGAGGCGGAATCTTTCTTAAAGGAATGAGTTTTGTTTTCCTCTTCCTCTTGCTTCATGAGCAGCAGAAGGGGTGGAAGCAGGGAGTTTTTTTGGACTGAGTTAAAGCAGTACAGCTGTGGGAGGTCAAGGTTAAAATTAACTGGGTGATGGAGGGACCGATTTAGTGTGAGTCAATGAAATGCTAGAAGCATCAAAGAGCCCTGCTAACTTCAGACCTTGGGGTTCGTAGCAAAAATGAGCGATGTGACTTTAATATTTGGGGCTAATATTTAATTTCCGATCATTGCACTAAAATGTTAACTATGTAAATGGAGGTTATTGGTATTTAAAACAATATGAAAAAGAATAATATAAAACTATATAAACGAAGGGTATTAGTATTTAAAACAAGAATATGAAAAAGAGTAATAAAATAAAACTCTTTTACATGACTAGGAGCAATAGAGTTAAGTCTTACTACATTTATAAGCATACCTGGAATTTCAGTGAACTTCCGTATTAGAAAATATATTACTGATAGGTTTCAATGTGTACTCATGTTATAAAAAATAACAATATTTAGTTACAGGAAAATAAAAAATATATCTAAAATAATTTCTGAAATAACAGTGGAGTACATGCAGTTTCAGTGGCAATTCAAAGATCAACAAAATTAAGAAACTTGTAAGTAGATTAACTTCCTTTAAATCTACTATGCAGACTATTAACACATGATGTGCCCATACCTGAGGAACCTGGGAATCTGAATTACACTTTTAATTTTACTTTTAATAGTATTCCTGGCTTTAAGCACTGACCATCTGTGATTTTTGTTGTTGTTATTCATTGGTAAATGAACAGGTGTGGCCTCAAAACATGAACAGAGAAAAATATGGAAAGTATTCTGTAGTTGATTTTCTTTGCACAGCCTTTATTAACTACTTTTGTGATATTGAGCTAGTAAGTAACAGTATTTGGTGCTTAGTTCTCTATTTTGTAAAATGAGGATGTTGGGTTGAAATTCTCCTTTAGCATTCCAAAATACTATGATTTTATGATACTTATATGTTTATATTTTTTATGTAATTCAAGTGTGACTCACTCTAAATTATTTTTCCTAAAAACTTGGATTAAAAATAAATCTTTATTTTAAGTATATAGCCTGAGTTTATTTACCTCTAGTTGATGATTATTTTGCAAATCAAGTAATCACTTTTTTGAAGTGAATAAACTTGATTTTATCTGACTTACAAATTTATACCCAACTCTGACCAATTTTCCTAAAGCAGGATCCTACTATATTACTAAGGACACCAAGGGACTGGAGTACACTATGTATGTTTCATCATAACAAAAACATATTTAAAAACTGGAGCATCATCAGATGATAGAGTTGGAACAGAGTTTAGCACTCACTCACTCCAACCCTGTAATTTTTTAAGTGGAGGAAATGAAACCCAGAGAAGCAAAATGGGGACAGAGGAAGAGAGCTGGAGTTTACTGAGTCCACCCTTCACAAACACTAAAGGCAAATAAACAACATGTGTGGACATACACATTGTTTCACATGCCCATCCTGGGGGCTGAGCAGGAACTGTCACAACAAAATAGAGGTAGTTTGACTCAATGACTCTACTTGTGTATATGTAGTATAAACTGAAGAAATATATCAAACAAGTACTCACAATGTGTGTAACTATTAGCACAGATTTTGCCTTCAGGTTTGGGAGAGTTTTTGCTAGGAAGTAAAGAAATTCGTCCAGGGAATTGTTAAAAAAAAAGCACAAAAAAACCCAGCTGTTCTCCAGGGAAATGACCCTTCCTTACCTTCCACCCAAATGACAGGGCCATCAACTCTGTCAGTGTTTTCCCCACACTCGTTGGTGTCTCTCTTCCCTTTTGACTACATCCTCAAGCATGCCTGCCAAGAAGAAAAGATCATTTTGGAGCCAGGCAGGGGAAAATACTGTAGAGACTTAATTCTTGCCTTCAGAAATACTTTTTGGAAGATGCTTTTTGGACTAGATACTAACATTTCCCCTTAAATCCTGATCTAGTTTTCCTGATAAGGAACCTGGCACTAACCTAAGCTCACTCTCCCTAGTTTCAAGGGGACATTACAGTCAAAGTCTGTGCTATATCAGATGACACAGCAGACTTGTTGATTTGTGTACCTTGGTGGACAATTTACCACCTTGATTTTTTCAAAAATGTTCCCTACAGGGAGAGAATTGAAGGAAATTAGTTGCACAGTTGATTCATCTGTTTTTGTTTATCTTGCTCTTCTGCAAAGAAAGTATTTCATTTCATCTACTAGTTGCTAACGGACAATGAATAAAATGATTACCTGCATAATGCAAAGCAACTCCCCCAAATTAAATGCTTTTCTTTGTATCTTCCCCAAAGTGCTGAACACAGTCTCTTATATAAAGGCACTTAATAGATACTTTTAAAAATGAATACACAAATTAATGCATGAATAGCCCCCAAAATATCCCGAAAATGATTACAAAGTGTTTTTGTTTGTTTGTAATTTGCATCGTCTAAAACAACTGACTCCATTCTCTAACCTCCCTTTTCTAACACAGTCTTGATCTAAGGGAAACAATCTCTTCTCTGTAGAGCTCTTTAGGCATCCATGATTTGTATTCTCCAATTAAATTGTAGCCAAAAATCTCCACATGAACTCTGGGTAGATCAATCAGTAGCCAGGACACTTTCTGCCAAGAAAACACATGCTAATGTTTCAAAATTCCAGTGCTCTAGTACTAGCTGTGACACCAACTGGTTATGTGACCTCAAACAAGTTTCTTGACATACTTGTGCCTCAGTTTAGACACCTTTTAAGTGGATTATAATGTCTACTGTACATACTTCATAGGGTTGTTGTGAAGTTCAAAGATAACAAATGTAAAAAATGCTTTGAACTTTACAAAGCTTCGTATAAATATAAGGTATTATTACCGGCACATATATTTAAAATAAATTATCTAGTTTAAGGGACTTTACCCTAAACAACCTGTTTTCCAACTTATTATTGCAGAGAACAAACAGGTTTATCTGTCACCCTGTGTGTATGCACACATACACAGACACACAGACACACACACACACACACACACACACACACACACCCTACTGCTCTCAATTTAACAAATTCTCAACCTTGATTTTCCTCTGGATCAGGAAATGTGGGTCTGCAAATGAATACAAAGAGCCAAGAATTTATATAGGGAGCCCCCCTTCGTCCCTTCTCTACAGTGTACCTTTTTGAAGCTCTCAGAAGGAAAAGTAACCCAGTGAAGCAAAAGAGCCTTTTTATACTACATAATGTCAGGTACTTAATCAGTGGGGTTAGATGAGCCATTCATTTGAAACTTGGCCATGATACATACATCTTGATCCCCCTTTTATGCCAAGCCTGTCTAGAAAGTACTTGGGGAACAGAGCAGGAAGTGCTGACATGGAACTCATGCTAATGAGTTCTCCATCCCCAAGGAGACATAATCAGGACAATACTCAAGGATTCATCAACAGATTTTATTAGTACTATGTGACCTATATGATTTATTTTAAAGGAGTTACTTCAGCTATATACCTGACATGGCCTCATACCACTGTTTAAGTAATCTGGTCTGATACATTTCTGTCACATTCATGAAATAGCACAGTCCTCCTTTTTTTTTAAGGTAGTTATCTTCATTTATTAATTTTCCATTTGATGGGTCTTTTAAAATCATCATAGCTACACAAATAACTAATAAACCAACTGCTAGTAAGAAGATACTCAGACTGAGAGGCCCACTCATAGGTATGACATAAAACTCATACAAAATCAATTTAAGAATTACCAATTTCTGTGTGGAAAAACTGTAAAATGAATACAAAGTATGCAATTATTATGTGAAACCAAAACTATGTCAGTTTACTTACAGATCTTTTTCATGTTCACATGCCTTAAGATTTCAGCAGCTAATTTTTACTAGATATGTCTGAAGTACATGGTCTTAAAACCAGGTGTTTGAATCCTTATGGCATTATTTCTAGAATGTGATCAGGAGCTGCCTGCATCAGAAAAACTTGGGAGGAGGAGTGTTCCTGAAATGCCGATTCCTGGCCTTATCCTTGAATTAGAATCTTCTAAAGTGTACTCTGGGTTTTTTTAAAGCACTCCAAGTGATTCTCATATACACCAAAATTTGGACACTGCTATCTTACAGAAAAAATTAAATGTGTACAGAATCTCAGAGACACAGTGAAGAAAATGCAGGTGGGCCCTTTTTCATTATGTGAAAGGTATCAGAGAAGTAATATTATAATATGTATAATATTTCAATACATATATATATATTAACCCTGGCTCCACCATCTCTATAGCATAAACTTGGACAAGATACTAATCTCTCTTGAGTCCTAGTATCCTCATCTGTGAGATAATACTTTTTTCACTGTGTTGTGAGCTTTAAATGGGGAGAGCTTCTACTCTAATGCCTGACACATAATAGAACTTAAGTATACGTTCATTCCCTCACTCCTCATTCAAAAAGGAGTTTACAGGTGCATTCTTCTTGCCCAGTGTCCTTAATATGCTTGGTAGAGGAATATGAACTAGTAGTTCAATAATCAGTATTTTGTGTTCTCATAGTTTGCCAGCACTAAATGCTTTGTATGTATTATTTCATTTTATACCTACAATAATCCTTAAAGGTAGGGGCTATTATTTTTATGTTACAGATGAAGGAACTGAAGTTTAGAGGATAAGTAACTCACCCAGGATCTCAGAGCAAAGCATTCACAGGGCTGGGATTCAAACCCGGGCTTTCCAACTCTAGAGAGGAACTGCTCATTATGTCATATTTTTGTATATTCTCTATGTGCTTAGATTCCAACATATGAACCAGTCTCTTGGAAGGAATAAGCAACTGCTAAAATGGAGTTTATCAACATGCCAGAAATACAGACAAATGAATACCATCATGTACCTATTCTAGAAGCCTTTGCCTATAAAAGAACACCTAATGACGTTCCAAGTATTTTTTTAATGAATGGAAGGCAAAGATTTCATAGGCAAACTGTTTAAGCAACTGACATAACTAAACCCAAGCTTAAAATCGCAAGCCAAATTGGTCTGATTTTCCAAATCAACTTATGCTCTGACATAATGCAAGTCACTGAATTTCAGAGTTACAAATCATCACATCATTTGCAACAAATAGTTCTTGAGCACTGTAAACTATGCACTGGTCTGGCATTGGGATGATTAAAAAAAAAACAAAAACCTAAGACATAGCTTATGTCCTAAAAATCTAGTTGGGAAATAAAACAAAAATGTATGAAGCAACTAGATTGCAAAATCACCCCATATGAGATAATAAATATAAAACTCCTAGCAA